TCAATAACCTTTTAATAACCCCCAATAGCTGAGTTATTGGAAGTTATTCGGGATCATATGCACGTAAAATTATGTGCATATATGACATACGTAAATATCGCTACATTATTTAGAAGCACACCTTAAAACTAACTGAATTTTTAAATAACGTTAATATTGCCAAATAATGAATGGAACGTACCCCTTCAAAAACGGTGACGGTGAGAGAAAGTGAAATGAAAAAAAGGGTGACCGCACCGCAATTTCGGTGAAGCCGAAAAATAGCGTTAATTTAGATATCGTAGTTTCCGAGCTGGCGCCGAGCCCATATAAATATCGGAATGCGTTCTACCACCCTCCTCTCTCTCTCCCCTCAGACGTCTCATCTCCACACCTCTCGCCCTCCCCCATCTTTCTCTCTCTACCTCAAATTGTGTTGCAAGAAACGAAACATGAGGAGAATTGGAGAACCACGGCAGTTCATCAGAACCCTATATCTCTCGATTTGAGTTTTTCATTGTCATCCCCCCTTCGATCAGTCCTGTATTCTCGATTTCACTGCAAAAAGCAAGATTTTCTCTCAATTAAGAGGAACGGGAAGATTAGGAGTAACGATCGGAATCGACCAGCAAGGGCGGACAGATGCTGGTTGAATTTCTGGAAGCCTAGTTCCTTTCTCCTCTCTTTATCTTCTCCGATCTGACCCGATTCATGTGCGAAAGAGTCGAGTGGATGTTTTCTCTTCCCTGCTTTAGCTTGTGCATATTCTGTAACTTAGGCGGGTTTCATTGGCGAAGGCGTTTCTACTGATTTCGCAAACGTTCTCCTTGGGCGTTTGGGTTTAATTTGTGGTTTTTTTAGTGTGGGCACGTTGAGATTTTGCTGAAGAAGTGAGCTGAGCGGATTGATCATCTGTTCATGTTCATGGGCATACCTGATCAAGATAATCTGTGTTGATTGTTTAATTATTGCTTGTGGCTAACTCGGACCCTTTTTCTTTGTAGAATTGTCCTCTGGATTACTTGAGAAAATTCGAAATAAGAGAGAAACTATCTATTTGTTTACGAAAAGCATTCTTTAATAGATGGAATTCTTTTCTTTTCTGGTGGAATTTTGGTTGTGGAATATGCTTTCCCCTCTGTAATGGTATCCAATCCACTTGCCTTAAACAGGCATGATTTTGAAGGAATTCATTGTTTGAATGCATCTTCCGTGCCTCTGTTTCCTTTGAGTAGAAGTTCTGTAATTTCTTCCTCTTGCAATATTTACTTTTAGAGCTCTCTGCTGGGCATCCCATGTTTATGACTTTGCTGGCTGAGATTTGTATACAGAGTTTTTCTGCTTCCATGGCTTTGATTATGTTATTATTTCTATAAAAAATTGTGGATG